CTGTTGAAAAGGGTGATGGATATCGTTACAGTTGATTGGGGGGAGGGACAATGTTCGCGTGCTCGTTGCTCGCTCGATGTCGACGGCATGCGTAAACGAAGGAAAAGTCACCCCTCAGCTCAAAACAGATGCCAGCAAGAATAAGGTCTCTTGATAAGGGAGAAATCGAGAACGGGCAGTCTAGGTCAAAGAGAAAAGAGAGACGAGTGAAGAGGAGGACTTTTTTTTTCCTTTTCAAGGGCAGTCTAATAAGTTGGGATGCAAGTCGTCGCGGCCATGGCCACCCTGGGGCTGCATGGGTGGAGCGGCAAGACAAGGGGGTGTGCATCTATTTGCTCCCACACCCGAGCCTGCCCGTCAGCCTCGTGTGGTTTTGGGGCGAGGAAGGAGCAGCGAACCCGTTGAAGTGGACGCAGGCAACCCAGCGGGTGTGTCTCTACAAGACTCCGATCTTGCAGCACTCATGACTGAACACCAAAATGGCTGTTGTTGGGATGCGCAAAGCCCCACGGCACCCCAGCTCCTCCGGTTCTGTCTTCCTCGGCAACTAGTAGAAGCAAAGCGTGGGAGAGATCAAGCACATGCAGAGGATGCTTGATAACGACATGAGCGACATGTCCCGAAGCTCAAGTGCTGCCTTTCGGATCCATCTGGTTGGTAGACTGTTGGACACACTTGGCAGACCATAGATGCCCGCCATTGCTGGTATCAGACTTCTATCTGCCCCTATCTTTGCTTCAGTTGCGCGTTGTCCAAAGTAGCAGGCATGGCGGGGAAAAAAGGTATCGCATATGCTCCGTACAACCGAGAGTGCTCAACCTGACGGCGTGATGGCTGACGTTGAGGTGAGGAATTCAACGCGAGGTACGGAGTACAGAATAGCTCTGTGTCTTGCTCGAGCAAGCGCACATGTCTTGAACAGACATGTCGCAAGCTCAGACTTGGCGATCCAGCCGGCTATTCGGTCTGTAATTTTGTAAATCTTTGGCCATGGCCATCAAACAGCATCAGATTTCTTTACACACGGCAGCATTAGCCTTTGGCCAGGGGCGTGTAAGTTGGCCACAATGCATGCGACCCAGATATGCGCTTGGAGTGCTCCGTACCCAGACATGAACCCGGACGCATGGCCCCTCATCGCACCTACAGATAGATACCTCACGGGAGATATAACACGCATACACGCTCCTATGGAAAAACTATCGCGCTACAGGTTCCACTCTATATCTGGTCCCCGCTATGCCGGGCGGCGGGGCCAAGGCGTCAAAGCTGGTGCTGGATGTCTTTTTTTTTTTTTTGTTTTTTTGTTGGGGATGAAGATGGCCAAGCTCTGGAACACCAATTCACCTGGAACACACGACCGCCCAGCTCAAGAAACCATGATTGACTCTTGCCAGGCGAGAACTTGCACGTGATTATAACCGGTACATTCCCCCCAGTGTACCGTCGGGCTATGGATTATATGCCACAGTAGTATGTATTGTGCGTATACATACGTCAAAGTACGGAATACATGAGCACTTGCAGCTTTATGCATTACTACAGAGGTTCTTTCCCCGCCAAAGCAAGTATTCCCTCCTCAAGTCGGCCAACATTCTTCTCTACAATATCAAGCCATCAACGACTGCTCTCTCTTACATAATTAACCCAAAACAACACGAATTCACCCATATATATACCTAGGTGAATACATGTAAAGCGTCACCAAGTCAAAATATGATACAGCAACCAATACATACATACCTTATGTACTTAGATATACTACATAAAATAAACAAGTGTCCCGACTCCCGACTATCCCGCCCCACCCTCATAAAGTTGAGGCACGCAGAATCTCCTACCGGGTAGGAAAAGGAAGCACCCGCCCGGTCCAATTGCGCCCATCTACGCCGCCGTGCGGTGTGAGTGGGACAGAGACCCCTCCTCTTCGCCCTCAACAATTTCGGCCCCAAGCCCTGGTTCCAAAAGTCGGGAATCCAACAGCCCAGGTACCCACCCCCCGGGTAGTCTTGCCTACTTTCCGCCACTGTCCTTCTAGAAACCATCTTCGATTTGGGGGAACAGAGCTTCCCCAATCGCATAGAATACGCCTTTGGGCAGTAATACTAATACTAATACTACATACCTACTTAGAGGTAGTTGTCCATGTTGCGTCAAGTGTCTGTGTTGTTGGACCTGTCTAGTTCTGCCTGATACGCGCTTGGCACTCATTATTACGGACGTTTGGTTGCCCATCTGCCACCAATTTGTGCGCAGCTGCGAGTTCTTACTCGCCATTCACCGGATCAGACAGACGCGACTTCTTCATGCAATTGATTAATCTTACTTGTATTCGAGCTAGGGTTCAGTTACTATTTGAGTCCAGAAGCACGCTGTAATCTGGCACAGCCAAATACACACAACTTCTATAAGTACCGTCTTCTATGCCTGTATGCCCGTACGCCAAGTTCATCACCGGGCCATTCTGTTCCTGCAGATATGTAGTCCACTTAGGCGTCCAAGCGACCGGCCAACCAGCGGTTGAGGAAGTCAAGCGATGCCTCGGGCTGGTCAAAGGGTGTCATATGGCCGGCCTTGTAAATCTGAAGGAATGACAAGTTGCCGTGCGACTTGAGCTTGCCGTACTCCTGGGCCCCATTGCCGGAGCTAACCTTGACACCCTTGCTCTTGGCCTCGGAGAAACCCTTGTGGCCAGACCATTCGAGCTTGTTGGTCCAAGCCTGGTTTCCAAGCCAGTTGCAGATGAAGTCGGCATCACCAGCGTAGATCAGGACGGGAATCTCATCCAGAATCTTAGGAACAAGTCTGAAGTACGGCTTCATCCAGTCACCCTGCAGAAGGAAGTTGCGGTTAATGTCAAAATTGCAGCTGTCGTAGCTGTCAACCTCAGCACCAAGAGCCTCCATAACATCGGCCTTGTTCAGCCAGTCAGAGATGTACCCGAGCTCATCATAGCACAAGTTGCCGCCCTTGCAGTCACGGCGAACATCATAAGGATTGCGGCCAGTGCGTTGGTAAGGTCCAATCATGGCATTATTGCAGTAGATGCTGGCGGGAACGCAAGTCCAGGCGCTCTCGGAGTCGTAGCAAGACTTGATCAAGGACTGGCAGCGAGGGAGGGCGTTGTCGAGGCTGAGGCACTGACTCTCATCGAGAACAGCAGGGTAGCCGCCTTCGCCACATGCCATAGGGCGATAGTACTCATACTGAGTGTACCCGTCGGTCAAGCCATTTCCAATCAAGACGCTCTTGAGGTTGATATTGCGGTCCTTGTGTGATAGGATTTCAGAGGTAAAGACGGGGATGTAGTGTCCGGCATAAGACTCCCCAGCAATGTGGAAGTCCTGCTTAGCGTACTCTGGGAATTGGTGGAAGAAAAGAGTGAGGAGGGCGTAGATATCTTTGCCGGCAGCGACAGTGTTGCTGACCGTGCCACTACCATATGAGTAGCCCACATTGACAGGCTGGTCAAGGAAAATGACGGAGGCGTTGGCATTCCACGAGTATGGGTTATGGACGACCTCGACCTTTTTGTTGATGGAAGCAGGGCCGAGCTCCATGAAAAGACCTGTAAGCGACGAGCAGCCCGGGCCACCGTTGAGCCAGAGGACCACAGGGTCGGTTGCTGGGTCATTGCGTGACTCAAAGAACCCTGCGTGCTTTGGTCAACATCCAGTTCATCACCATTTCGACAAGCCATTGTCAATCATTATCGAGGGTGGGGAGTTTCGGGGAATGCTGGCCATGCTTACAGTAAAACAAGTGCTTGTCCTGTTCGTTGTCATCGAGGTACCCGCTATACTGCTTTACCTTGTCGACGCCGAGCTTGGCAGGATCAACCTTTTTGGCGCGAAGACTGAAGTTATCAAGCTTGCCTCCGACCTTGCGGTGAGACTCGCCCTTTTCGTTCTTGACCCAGATATTCTGAACATCGGCGCCATGTACGACGTGATCCCACTTGCTGTCGGGGATGCGTGAGTGCTTCTTGGGCTTGGCATTGATGACGTGCTGCTTGAAGGCATCGACGGCCTCGGGGGCGAGCATGGACACTTCTTGCCATAGGGCCTTGGCCTCGGAGGTAGCCTCGCCGAATGCCTCCCTCAGGGGCTTGGTCCAGACATCGAAATCGACGTTGCCAAGCTTGTTGAAGTCGAAGCCGAGGGTTGATTTGGGGTTGCTGAGAACCTTTTGGTCCCGGAGGCCGACGGCGGACGACGCGGCGCCCAGCACTAGGGCAGAGGTAGACAGCCGCATGATGGACTATCGACTACTTTTGGCGTATGATGCAGATGGATATAGGGCTGATAATAATGATGGTAGTATGTGAATGGAGGAATGGAGGGCTGGATGGGAGAGAAGAGGAGAGGGAGACAGACGATGCGGAGACGCAAAGGGCGAATGCTAGCTAGTAGCGGATGACGAGGCCGCCGCAAACGACCACACGTACGGAGTAACATGTCACTGGTAGCTAAGCTACTTGGGGTCTTGAAGCAAGCTGGGGGGAGCCTCAGACGCGGAGCTCTCTGTGCCTAGCAACGAGCGTTCGAAGCATTCGGACCCACATGAAGGGAGCCATGGGGATTCATAGGACAGATGGGTAGCAAGGTGGGGCAGCAAGCCGATCATGCACCCCAGGCTGCAAGGTCTTGTACAAGCGGGCAGCGGGAAAGAAGGATCGCGTACCCGCGACACCCTAAACCTCCGTGTCAAATGAGCAGAAGTGCCGGCCGAGGGATCATTTATATCACTTTGGTTTCCATGTTTAACAGGAGACGTGGGGGCACATTGCAGTGCAGGTACCTGGTGTATTGAAGTCTAAGGAATGAATCTAAGGCAGCAACGAAAACTTGAAAAGAAAAAATCCAAAAAAATCCCACCGACAAAAAAAGCAAATCCACACTCTCTAATCGTCACCAACTCCCGTTGCTCCCACGTCTATCGGAAAGCGACTAGTGCCAAATCCCACATCGAAAGGGGCGAAAGTAAAAAAGTCCAGTCAATTAGGACGATGCGGCGCACTGCTGGCCAGTCGCCTGGTTGACGCAGACTTGAGTGAGAACCGTCTCGCCGCCCGACTGGTAGTAGCCCTGGCCGCAGGAGCCGCCGACGTTGCAGAAGATGCTGTCGCCGCACTTGGGCCCGTCCTGGGGGAACTGGGGATCGGGCTTGTTGTTGCACGTCCCGGTCTTGACGCAAACGTTGGAGCTGGTGCCGGAAAAGGCGAAGTCGCTGGGGCCGCAGATGTAGCCGGGGAGGCAGTCGGCGCTGGTGTTGCACTGGGGGGTGGCGGCGCTGGCAGCAAGAGCCATGGTGACGGCGGCGAGAGCAGACTTGAAGACGAGGCCGACCATTTTGACGGTGTTTGGTTGTGGTGGTTGTGGTGGTGGTTGTGGTTGTTGTTTATGTGTATGGATGGTGGTGGTGGATATAATTTGGGGAGAGCTGAGGGTAGACGAGGCAGAAGAGTGCTTGATTGTTTGTTTTGTTTGTTTGATTGCTTTGCTGAGGAGTGTCAGGATATTTTTTCAACGAGGAACTGCATCTTTATTTATACCCCGTCTCGAAGCGCAAACGAAACATGACAACCGCCGTATCAAACAGCGCGTGAATAGTAGCATTGAGGCGACCTTGGAGCATTGAGGCTGTCCATGTTTGGCTGTCACCACTGCCGTCATCCGCCCTGCGGCTTCTCCGAGCTCGTCAACGGCTGAGTCCATGCCGCTTCATTGCTGGGGTGGCTTTGCCCGGGAGAGCAGACACCGATGGCTTCATTCTTCCATTTGCTGCGGTGGAACTCGTGGCTTGCCGTGACAGCATCTCCGCGCACCTTTAGGAAACACCACAACGGGGACCATTCTATATTAAGATTTCTCAAGGGTGTTGGCACAATGCTGGGCTGTGCACTTGATAGCTCATTGCCATATTCGGCCTTCATGCGTGTCGTGGACTTTTTGACTCAACGTAGCCAGCGGGCTAACATGGATTGGCCTATGGACAATCATTGTTTGCAAAAGAACAGATAGTTGCAAAGATGCAGAATAGAGAGTCCTTTCTCCCTGAACCGCATCTAGTAGAGATGCAGCACATCCCGCAAAGATCATCAGGGGAAGATGCCATAGCTACACCACCATTCAACACTCGGCACATCGTCGTCCACCAAGGCTTCCGCACCATCGGTTCCGCCGGCACGCGGGATATTCTGCACCGAGGCCTGTCAGATTGTCCTTCTAGAAAAACAGAGAGGGCAGAGGGCATGCCATTGTTCCAGTAGCAGATAGGGCAGGCCTTAGCAGCCCAGCCGGGTTTCGCTCCTCCAAGCCATCTCAAATGGCCATCCTCTTCTAGCCACCACGTCATGGGGACGATTGTAGCTTCACCCAGTCACACGCGACCGTTTGGCAGGTCCCGGAGAAGGGTGCTGGCGGCACGACCGATGGCTGTGAAGCCGTGGCACTAAACTCGGTACAAGAACACATGGCTTGCCGTGGCTCGAGTTGCATCCACACATAACGACGTCTGGTTGAATGCATCAGCCGACTGCCGGACCCAAGGACGATTGCCTTGACCACATCATGGTGCTGGGTGGTGGCTATGTTTATCACGAGAAAACACGGCATGCTCACGTATGTATATTCGGTCCGTTTTGCAACTGTCGAATTGCGGGAGATGAACATGTACGATTCGGACATCGGGGCAACTTGTAAACATTGTCAACACGCCTGACATTGATGTTGAGCCGTTGATACCAGAGCGCGGCACCAGAATTCCTCCGTCAATTCAAAGGAATCTATGTTGCATCGAAGTTCTGAAAAATTATCCACATGTTCCTACTCTTTAACACGAGCTCCAGAGAGCCCAGCAACTCTGCCAGACGCTTCATCGCCCTCGCCTGGTCGTGGTGCCGAGAGTTCCCCTCCCCTTCCCAATACACTTTGACGACACCCTGTCTTATCGGTTGAATACACATCATTTATTGTCCCGACAGTCGCCACTGGGAGGGATATTGTGCCACTTGGCAAAAGGGTCATCGCAAGGATCCTTGGCCCTCACATACTCCACGGCACCCTGAATCGTGTGCGAAGTATTCTTGTTGTACACTGTATCCATAAACTCAAAGATGAGATCAAACCCAGACGTCACCTACACACACAAAACAAACAGTCAGCATGTTGCAACTGTTGGTCCGAGCCTCCTCCAGAAGGCCTAAGGACGAAAGGCCACAAAAATAAGGAAGCCACCAAACTTACACCTGACGAAGTCCAAATGTTACCATCCACGGTCCATCTTGCCGGCGACACCCACTTCACATTTGGGCCCATCTTGACAATCTCATTCCAGGCCGCCTTGTTCGTCGTGGCCCTCTTTCCATCCAGGACACCAGCTCTGGCTGCAACGCCCGCGCCGGTGCAAGTGGTGAGGAGGTACTTGACCTTGGGGTATGTCTTGCGCACAAAGTCGACAACGGGCTCGGACGAGTTTCCGCGTCTCATGCCCAGCCCACCGGGGACAAGCAGGATTTCAATGTCGTCGGGCGGGTTGTCAAACGTATGCGTCGGGTTGAACGAGGCCGTGAAGTTGGAGCCGGCCTTGTTCAACTCCGGCAGAGGCGGCCGCATCCACACGGGCGCCATGGTATCAGCGAGGAAATACAGATTTAGCTGCTGCGAAAGGGACAAGATGTACAGAACGTCTATGGGCCCGAAAACGTCGATGACATCGAGGCCGTCGTACAGAGCGACTGCCCAATTTTTTGGTGGCTCTACCTCGTCAAGGAGGGGGCATGTCAGCTTTTTTCTTTCCTTTGGTGAGTATGACGGCAGCTCGTCAAGAGGATGGGCCTCGTAGAAGAGTGTGTAACTTGGTATTCAGCTTGCCTCACCTGTGACATTGCACGCCGTCCTGCGCATCACCTTTGCAGAGGCGGCCACAGCAAAAGCAGCCAGCCAGACAATCAGCTTAAACTCCATCGTGGTAAATGAACTCAAGAGCGACGATAGGCGGGGACATCATCTCCATGTCTTCTTCTTTTGCAAGAGTAGCACCGGCAAAGGTTTATACTAATATCATCTTTGCTTCCGCGCACGGCCCCAACCTGCCCACTCGGCATGTCATATCGTGACGCTCGGGGCCAATGTGCTGGTTGATGATCTTGGCATCCCGAGGTTGAAAAGACTTGAATGATGTGATGCAGGGATCGATACAGCTTCTCGGCCCCCAAGCTCTGTGCTATGTTCAAATTCGACGCATGAAGCTTATAATTTGAAGGCAAATAGGGCCTGTTTTCAGCCAACATCTCTGTCTACCCTTGTTAGTGACATCTCAAGCTAGCAAGGGCCGCATAAATGCCTCATGCGACAACCGAGAATGACATACCATTGGCGGAATTAGATGGTTCAAGATGCTTGTCATCTATGCGAACTATTGGGAATAGAAAGTTCCCAGCCAAAGGGGCTTCAATACCGCTAACTGACCAATTTCGGCCAGCAGGTTGTAGAACTTCCTGGCTGCAATAGCTGGTATAAATAGCAAGCATCTTACAACTCTTCGAGCCCCCTTTTGATCGCAATACATACGTACTGGTAGTACCCAGTCTTTTCGAATAATATCTATCCCCTCTCTTCTCCTGCTGTTCCAAGTAGCCACACAGTGGCAAACTTGGCATAGTACTTGGAAATTGCCGGCTCGTATTATTATTTCTGCCCGATGAGCCGCGCTTGGTGGATCTCGGATATTAATTAGGCAAAGGCGATAAGGGCGAGCCAACCAGCTGGTAATAGTCCTCTGAAACACGATATTTCCTTTACGGAACCCTGTATGTGGCCCTCGTCTACCAAAGACGACCCGAAAGTTCCGAACATGATGCGTTACTAAGTTTGTAGTTGCCGGGTACCAAGTTCAACCAAATATCAATGGGTCTTGACTGGATTTGACATGTACAGTACAATATATGTATCATGCACCACGGCATCAGAAACTCGGTGCTGGTCCTTCGGCAAAACTAGTTTGTAAAAGTGGAAAGGGCCAGGATTTGCGTCGAGCGTTTATGAGTACATATGTACGTTGACCCGTGCGGACGGGGTGTTCGTGCTGATAATAGCCGGCTGCTACGCAATGTGACGACGTGTCTTTCGAATGTCCACACGACGAGAGAGTGTAGCACTCCCCCCGTACGGGGTCAAACAACATATCAACTCTATTTGTCTATGATAAAATGAGTTTCTGCCCTATGCTTCACTTCCTCCCTCTGCGGCGGCTTCCTTCTCCTTTGCTTTTTGGGCCTTCTTGGCGGCAATTTGCTGCTCCTTGAGAAGCTTCTTCATTGCGTTCTTACTTAGCTCACCAGTGCCAGCTGCGTCGCCGGTAGGGGTAGCACCGTCGGTCTTGGTGACTGGCACGACAAGGTCTGCTCGAGGAACCCGTGGGTTGCCTTTCCACTCCAGGGGACGGACCGACATGAATTCGTCAACCACGGCATCGCTAACTTTTGATCGTCGTTCTTGGAAAGTGCCGACGTATTTTTGGAGGTGTTCGATGCAAATCGCTTTAAGCTGCAGGGAGGGTGAGTAATGCAGTCAGGTAGACTTTGGCGAGCGCAACGTACCTCGCCTGTGAGCAATTTGCCGCTGTTGTATTCGTCCTTGATCCTCTTGAGCTCCTGTTTCATCCGTTAGCATGTCATAACAAGATTCAATAGCTACTGGACGAAATTGGTCATACATCATCATCCTCTAGGAAGAATGTGAGATATTGATACGCAACATCCACATCAGCATTGCCGCCCTTTTCGCGGTGCTCCTCCAGGGTCTCCCGACCGCCAGAGAAAGCATATCTAAACGAGTTAGCATACCGATTCGATGACTTGACTAAAAATTTTGGGCCACGTCTTACTTGTTGATCTTGTTCTTGATCTGCTTAGCAGTGTCGCTTAGGAAAATAGCAGAGTTGTCATCACTGGCCGACATTTTTGACCCAGGCCCTTGCAAAGCATCCAAGAATCGCATATGGATCAGAGCTGGCTTGGCAAACTTGAGGCCCTGGGCACAGTCTCTGGTCAACCGGAAGTAAGGGTCCTGGTCGATGGCACACGGGATCAAACAAGGAATGGAGCTGGTCTTCTTCTCGTCGTGACCAAAGATGTGAGGGAATGAAGATGCGAACGACGTGGCGCCTTGGATACTGGCAAAGTGAATCTTGCCGATATTTGAGCTGCCATCGAAACCGAAAATTGCCTTGGCGGTGTTGTATGTGACTCTCTTGGCGAATCGAACAATGTTCTTGTAGAATGCGCCTCCCACGTAGGCAAAGTCGGAGAAGATGAATGTCTTCTTGGGATCAAAGCCGGCAGCAATGATGTCCATAGCATTGGTCCTGCTGTATCCCATGACCTCTTCCACGGTCCGTTTCTCGGAGAAGAGATACTTTTCATCTAGTTGCTGTTAGTGATATATCTCACACATCCATTCTCCGAGGACTTACCATCTGTCAACATGACAATTAGAGGCACATCGAGAGTCTCCTGCAGCCACCTAATTGCACGAGGTTGTCAGCTGCGCAGGTTCCGTCTTGCCCCGTCTTGAATACACGTACTTTACAAAGTCGAATACCTGAGTGTGTCCAATGTGCATGCTGTCACTGCTAGGTCCACGACCAGTATATAAAAAGAAAGGCTCATTCTAGTAACAAGTCAGTGATGATACAAAGCGTGGTACAATGCCAATTGACGAAGCATACCTTCTCATAGCGGTCCAGAATCATGTGCAAGTCACGATGACTGAAGAAAATACCACGGCGCATAAACCTGTGAGGCTTCTGGCCGGTGACCTTTTCCCAGCGCTGAAGCAGTGCATCATCGATCTTGCTGGTGCCAAACTCATCAATGAGCTTGGTATAGTCAATGGCCTTGACCTTTCCGTCGTCACCAACCTCGCCCGATACTGACCAGGGGTTAATGTCCTGCTTGGAGGGCTTGGTGTCTTCCGGAGAGGCAACGTCGTCGACGGGGACGTGGCCAACGTGGTCAACCGTTGCGGGAGCGGAGGCCATGGTTAGGGAAATGCTTGAGCTGTGCAAAATATTCAGATACTATTCCAGTGCCTTGTTCTGGAAGGGGAGTCAGATGCATGTGGCAATGGTCTCTGTAATTACATGCGTACCTAGATAAATGTGACTCAACATGAACAGTCAAATGGGCGCCTCTACAGTCACTCGAGTGTCCAGGATGCAAGCAAGGCGGGGCAGTTGGGAAGGATTTCACTTGGTGGCATGGCATGGCGGGGTTGAAAAAAAAACCAGATGGGAAAAAGAGAAAGATCGAGTGAGAAAGTCTGAGTCGCACCCTCGCTGTTCCTGGGCGATGTCACCAGCCCGCTGGCGTGTGGGCAAATCAGCGCGAAAAAACCGCCAAATCGCGAGGAAAGTGAACGAAGAGGCATAAAATAGCCATATCATAGCCATATTCACAAAACTTTATACGGGTTAAACTTCTAGTAAAAAGTACTCTCTAGTGACGTGCGTTCTATAATTGATACTACGGTTCGTAGCTACATCACTGGCACCAGTCGACTAGGCCACATGCAACAACTACCACCACAGAATGGTGGAAGTGAGTCATGCTGACGGCACATCTTGAGCGACTATTCTCACTAGTAGCTTAATCTATAAGCATTTTTTTTTTATAAAAATAAATAATAAATTTGCCGTTTCAGGCGCTTTGCAGTTTGCAGATTTTACCTGTTGGCTTTTTCTGCGCTTTCCTAAGTACGTAAGTACTTAAGTATAAGTAGTTAGCCAATGTCCCGCCGCAGCCCAACCCACGCTAGGAGGTACAAGTTGACCCAGACCAGTCGCTATATATTGTACACCAGGCTGCCCCGCCATCGACATCATCTTGATGAATGTGTAGTACTTTTTTTTTTTTTACCAACCTTGCTGGCCGGGCTCTCGCGCTTCCCACCGTCCTATTTGCTTTGGATTACAGCAGGCGGCATTCTTCATTTTCCTTCCGTTCCAACCTCTACGAATCCCCAAGCAAGCCAGCAACAAGCATCGCCCGCCATGTCTCGCCAAATCAACCAGCCCTCCAACCAAATCAAGCTCACAAACGTCTCGCTCGTGCGCCTGAAAAAGGGCAAGAAGCGCTTCGAAATCGCCTGCTACAAGAACAAGGTGATGGAGTGGCGCTCCGGCATTGAAACCGACCTCGACAACGTCCTCCAAATCCCCAACGTGTTCCTCAACGTGTCCAAGGGCCAGACCGCTCCCAAGGAAGATCTCGAAAAGGCCTTTGGCAAGGGCAAATCCACCGACGACATCGTCTTGGAAATTCTGAAAAAGGGCGAGTTACAAGTCGGCGAGAAGGAAAGAGCCGCACAGCTGGAGCGTGTGCACAACGAAGTCATTGGCATAGTGGCTAGCAAACTGGTCGATCCGAGGACAAAGAGGGTATACACGTCTGGCATGATTGAAAAGGCCCTGGACATGTTGAGCTCCCAGGCACACAACGCGGATAAAGACAAGAGCGCTACGGCGAGTGGCGCAGCGACCCCGACCACGACCACGGCCGCCAGCGACGATGGCGAGGCGAAGCCCAGAACGAAGGAGCACATCTGGACCGGCGTGGTGACCACAAAGAGTGCCAAGAGTCAGGCCTTGGAGGCGATGAAGGCCCTCATTGCCTATCAGCCTATTCCTGTGGCAAGAGCACGTATGAGGCTGAGGATATCGTGTCCGACGAGTGTGCTGAAGCAGGCCGTCAAAGCCGCCAAGGCTGCTGCCAAGGAGGAAGACGGCGAGCAGAAGGCGCCGGGGACGGTCAAGGACAAGATCTTGGGATATGTAGAGCAGGTGGAGAATCAGGACGTTATGGGCTCCGAGTGGGAGGTCGTCGGCTTTGTTGAACCGGGAGCCTTCAAAGCCTTGTCGGATTTCATTGGGAATGAAACCAGGGGACAAGGGAGGGTGGAGGTGTTGGATATGGCTGTCACGCATGAAGATTAAACGGCAGTCTAAATCTAATAGATAAATTACGAATGATACCCATGCTACTCCCCCTTGAGTAAATCTCTGCCATCCTCACGGGCTCCGATACTGCATGAACAAGATGCTTGATGACTATCGCTGACGGCATAGCCTTTGTCTGTCGATTGGCAAGGGCCTAGAGGGACGGGAGAAATTAGTTGCCAGTAACAAGAGGACCCAAGTCATCTCCAGATCGACGCCTTGCAATTTCATCACCTGTGCTTTTTCAGCTCAGCCAAGTCCCCCAGTAAAAATAAACCTAAACCCATCATCACTCATCATCGTGGCATGGGACACATTTGGGGAAGCTCTTCAAGGCAAAAGCACGGATTTTGTTTTGAATACTTTTGATTCATGAACCTCTGATCTAGAGTACAGCTATAAACCAAGCTGCATTGCCCGAAAGCAAACCTCTGCGTCCAGATATGCGCACAAAGATGGAATAAACCCAGTCCGTCACGCCTTTCCACACCCATCCCAATGCAGTGATCGTCACAGCGTATAATTTAACCACCCTTCTTCTTGGAGACACCGACAGTTCGGCCACGGCGACCAGTGGTCTTGGTGTGCTGGCCACGGACACGGAGACCCCAGTAGTGGCGAAGACCACGGTGAGCGCGGATCTTCTTCAAGCGCTCCAAATCATCACGCAGCTTGGAGTCGACGCCGTTGGCCAAAATCTGCGAGTCCTTGCCGTCGACAATGTCGCGCTGTCTGTTGAGGAACCAGGTGGGGATCTTGTACTGGGTAGGGTTCTGGATAATGGTGACGATTCGCTCAAGCTCTTCGGAGGTAAGTTCACCGGCACTATTGAAAGCACAATAATTAGCACTCTTGCTCTACCTCTAGTACTTCTTTTTTTCTTTCCTCCCCCCCTTTTTTCTCTCGTGACGAATGGAGGAGTCTAAATCGTACCGCTTGTTCAGGTCGACATCGGCCTTCTTGCAAACCAAGTTGGAGTATCGGCGACCGACACCCTTGATCTTGGTCAAGGCGTACATGACCTTCTGCTTGCCGTCAACATTGGTGTTCAGAAGACGCAAGATCTGTTTGCCCAAGTGTTAGCTTCTGATGTCACCGAGATGAACACAAAGTTAATTCGTTGGCGATGTGTTGAAAGATTTCGAGGCCGCCGCCGAAACGGCCGCTAGAGTCTGTGAAATCGTCGAGCAATCGCCAATCAAGGTAGAGGAAGTGCGTTACTTACGAACTGAAAGTTCGTCTTCTCTCCCGAAACGAGCGACATGATGGGCAACTGTACCGGTCGTTGCCGTGTGCTCGATGATGGACAATGGATTCGGGTTGAAGGGAAGAGAGGCGGAGATTTGGTCTGCGCTCGCTTAACGAGGTGGAATTTTCGACCCTGTGGGGGCACAAGTAGGGCAAGCGGCGATGCACACACTAATATTACCGTCACGGAAATGCGCACGTGACGAAGACCTGTTCATTGATGAGGCGTGGGCTTATTGTCTTTCGGGTAAACTTGTTTTTCCGGGAATTCCGGGAAAGAGGTTTTCAGCCAAAATCTTCAGACAGGACATGTCTATCAACTTGGAACTTCAGAATGAGGGGTGTTTGCCAACCATGTATGGTTCGACGCGACAAACAGGCAAAATCGGGGTATGATCCTTCGCCCCCATGTTGGATCTTAATTCACAGATGTTTTTGATGTTGTCGAGGCTGTTGCGATTGCGAGCAGCCTTAGGTACAGACAGCTCTCTCTACGGTAGGTGTTGATTCTCGTAGCTTGTTTCTGTTCCTCGTCTTTTGCCAATGCTCGGTCAATCCATCTAGAGGACAGATCTTGAGCCGGATACCCTCAGCTCGCTGTGTGTGTATAAGACAAGAAAAACCATTTACAACGTTTTTTGAGTACGAAACCTTCAGTGACTTCACCAAATGGAGGTTATCGTAATTTATCAGTTGTTACATTTTTCGTCTATCCATTACACCATCTCAGCCTCCATGCACTAAAGTACTGTTCATTACTTGTAGAAATTTATCCTCGCACTCCCATAGGTAAGGCAAATTCGTGTAGCACAATCTCAGCAATTGATTGCCTTCCTGAACTCCCGAATCAGGCAATACTTCGTCTGCGCTGTTGCGTGCATCGCCAATTACATTGGTTATCCCGTCATGGGTTCAACGTATTTGTCAAGTCCTACGACCAGTTAGCGCTCGCAACCAACCGTACGCTCATGTACGCACTTCTCGTGGTTGTGTAAGCTGACTTGTCAGCAAATCCCAAAGGCACACACGATCCATTTCAACGCCGTGGGAGTTACTTTTCGGCTGGACATTGAATACATGTACATCTTGGAGGCCCCGCACGAGCAGAAGCTCATCCAGGCCCAAGATGTCTGACATCCTTATGTTTCGATAGGCAAGAGGAAAATGTGTTCGCATTAAGCTGGCACGTTCGTTCAGATGCACCAGCGTCGACTTGGAAATATTGAGTGTCAGAGACTCTAGCTTAAGCAACTGGGGGAGCAATTTGAAAGTATTTGCTGATTCTGGGCCGCACCAGTGGACCGCTATGTGGCGAACATGATCCGTGAAGTGCGAATTATGATTAATATGTGCAAGAAGCTCACAAGCGCAGCGAAATCGAAACCTTTTCTTACGAAAGAAGATGCGGTAGAACTCCTCACCTAGAGCCGCACCTAACAGCGTCGGCAGCGCTTTCATCTGAGAGGTTTGAAAGACATTGTCCCTGTCGAACCTGGGGCATCTGCAAGGTGACGGTTTCCCAGCCGGCACTACTACTGGCGTTCGGAATGTATTGTCGATTATGAGATCCAGCGTTCTTGCACGAATTTCTATTGGCATTTTCATGAAGGGAAAGCCTTCGGTAGAGCTTTGCCTGTCTGCGATTGCATGTAAGACGAGTGCCCAAGACTTGGCGCAAGTCAGGGCAGTTTCTCACCTGCAATCTCCAGAATCTCTGTGCACATCTCGATAATGTCAACGCAAGTCTTGACCTCTGAGGGGTCCTTTTTAAGAATGTTGGCACATTTCGTGATGGTATTTGCAACCGCGGCCCTTCGCCGAGGACTCAGGCGCACTAGCCTTCCGAGCTCTTCGACGTCGAGACTTCCGACATGGTAACTGTCGAGGCCCTCGAGAAGGGTCTGGATATTTTTGGACAGCTGGTAGCGACTCGGGATGGCCTTTGTCTTCAAGACGAAGAAGGATTTGGAGGACATGATGGCCGGCTGGCTTTGATTGGCGTCCCATCAGTCAAACGACGCAAAAAGGAAACGTTGAAAGTAGAAGGTTCATCTCAGCTGCAGATGGAACCAGGCGTCCTCCAGACATTGTTTTGAATCCTGTGGAGACATTCGTTGGCAGCTGGCTTCAAATACGGTAGGTGCAGTGAGCCGTGAATGTGACAGCCGTGACAGGTGGCAGGCTCGGATCGAAGTCACTTGAGGAACATCTTGAACAGTGACGCATCGCTGCTCCTTCCGTTTGCGTGGTGAGTGTTGGCTGCTTTACGGTATGCCGGACCAAGAATCACAAGACATGCCCGAGGGTATAATTGCAAAACCACCCAACAAATATTGCCTTGACGTGTCAGTCTTTCACGAGATACAAAAGACTAAAAGAAAACATCATTCATCATCAATGACGAGAGGATATTCACCGGCAACGCTCACAACTATGAGAGGGTCCAGAGAGGCTTGGATATAAAGTGTAATCAAAAACGGTGTATTATCGTCTATGCCAATAAGAATTTCTTACTGGCCAATATAAGCTATAGCCAAGTCGCCAGACACCTTTGCTCACATTAAAAAGATGCATGCCGACATGTACGCGAGAAGATATGGTGCATGTGTCGGTAGATAAAACAAAGAACGCCGGCAGAGTCATCCATCCATGACCGCCGAATAACCGAATATGCCAAATGCTTGATGTGTGCCAACGCTGAATGCCCCAAAGTAGCCCGTGGTCCCGTGTAATTCATGCCCGTTCGTATAATACATGCAAGCACTTTTGTGTATTCTTCGCCGTGGTAGTGCCAACCATGGCGTAGTCGTATTGTAGTAACCACAGAAAAAGTGGTTAGATCGTGGGAGTGGTTGCCGTGGCAGCCTTCTATTGCAATACCGTGTATTCCTCTAATTCCTCTAGACAATATTTTTCCATATTAAAAAGAGTGAGGGTGAGAGAGTGTGTGAAAGAGGCAGAGAGGGAAGTCAAGGTGGAGAGAAAAAGAGTGTGTGGCAGGGGGGAGACTCTGCAACGTTCCGTGTTCTCTCGCTGGTGTCTGAGTGAGAGATTTGAGAGATGGACGGACTTGGGCTACGTTGCCTCCCAACTCCAAATGGTCTGCGGCGGTTATTGCAGGATGCCGGTCGTTTGGGGAACAGTGCCACCCCTCGTGTGCCTCTTTGGCGGCGGTCGTACCACCAGCGCAAGGCAACTCTAATGTTCTGCCCCTTGGAGTGGTGTCTGGTCTATGTTTATCGCCGTCGGCGCCAGGCGGTAGTGAGGCTTCCGCTGTAGAGATGCAATGCAGCGCGCCTATTCGCCTCTTCAGTCTCGGACCGAGTCGGGGTTCGGCGAGCCCGTCAGCGAGTGGCTGATCTCTGCCCTGTCGATCTCGAGGCTGGGTGCCCGGGTGCAACACGGGCTCACACCAATGAAACTGGCACTCTCAATCTGGCTCGGGTCTGAGGCTCCAAAGGTCATGCTGAAATGGCTGAGCATTTCCTGATGCTTCAGGTTTTGCAGCGTGAGAGGTCGTTGGCTGGGGTGGATCTTCTTGTTCTTCTTGTTCCTCTTGGATTCCTCGTGTGACTCGTCTTTTGAGCGGCGGCTAAATGCAAAGGTTCTGGCGAGTTTGCTGCTGGTTGACTTGTGTAGCGAAGACGTCTCGCTGGTGGTGGCAGTGGTTGTGTTGCTGTTTGTCGGCGAGATGGTGTCTGAGCTGTCGGACTTGCGCAAGGCACGACGAAATCGGTCTCGGATAGCCATTGTAGCAATCTTTGGCAGAGCAGACGAGGGATTGACGAACTTGATTGCAATGCATATATGCACCAATATACCGCAGTTGAGGAAGGCTCAACGGAACGACGAGATCGAAGGGGGGTGCAGATCTAGGACAATTATAAAGGGAATCGGGAATCTGAGGAAGCCTGGGAAAGTCTGCAATGCAAGCCTCTGGGGCGGCGCCCGCAGGAACCCTCTGGGCTTCGTCTTCGCGTGCATGGCGTCGACATGGTAGCATGGTACTCCGTAGTTGGTGGCGACTCTTTTCGGCCCATTGTCGTCTCTGGCGCCGATGCTTGCGTGGTTGAGTCTGGTGCGAGGCGTGAGTGGGAGGTGGGCCGGCTGCGTGTGGGGCCTTGGGGCTCTGGGGGCTCTGGAGTGCGGAGACGGGACTGATTCGGGGGGCTCGACGCGGTGTTTTCAAACTGCTGGGGTTTGGTTGGGAGGTGCTTGGTGCTGGTGGCAGGCGTCGGCATGCAGCACTCCATGTCTTCACTGCACATGCATGTCCTTGGCCGACGTCAAAAAGTCACTCACTTGGCCCACGCGGTGCCGGTGTGGCTGGTGGAACAGGAAAAGAACATTGATGGAACCACGAGCGACAGGCCGTTTGCGGTGGAGCCCGACGACAAAAGCCGTCAAGTTCCCGTGGCTCCCATAGGCCAAAGGCACGTTGCCTGGGGCCCTTCAGTGGGCTGCAGTGGGCTGCAGTGGGCTTCTGTGGGAACTTTGGCACCGCCACCGGCGGCCCCAGGTCTAGACTACGGGGCCTCAAATGTCCCTGTCTGGTCTGGTTCCATGTCAGCTCTGAATCTCGACTAGGCCGGGCAGCCCGGGGCACCCGCGCTTGCCTGGACCGGACTTTTACACCGAGCCAGGCGGCCCTTTTGCTCGAGGACTGGCGAGCCGACGCCAAGAGAGCGGGAAAAACTCTGCGTGCTGCACTCATGTCATGGCTGTTCGCGGTTCGCGTTGCCATTGCCGTCGCTCACGACCTCTGTCCACAGTGGCTTCGACGGGCGTGCCGCCATACGGCTTCTCGTGCCGATCCAAGCTTGAAGCGCGGCATAACTCGGGATGAGGGAAATGGTCCCGTCGGTGCTCGCCGTTCAATGTCTGTCCCGAGTCAAGTCGGACCAGACACCTGTTGATCTGCTACCACCACCACCACCATCACCAAAGCTTGGGTAGAAAACAACGTCCAGTCAGGCAGCAGGCAATCCGTCTGTCCATACTCCGTATAAACGCCGCAGTGATGGGGCAGAAGGCAGTAGCAGCTTGGGGCGAGTGCTAGGGCCGGACCAGGTCTGCCAGGATTACGGAGCACTTGGCGTTGGGTGTGTCCTGTTGTTCTCCCGCTTGCGTGGACGTCTGGATGCGGTGTCGACGTCATTGGGTCCATTCCGCGACACTTGACATTTGAATCCTCGGGGCCAGTTCGGAGGGCCACATCAATTGATACTAGTCAATACTAGATTAGGCACTCAAAACAGTACATACGAACCACCTGCCTGCTGATTGGCCTACAATTGTTAGCCTCCACAACATGGACTGGTCCCATATTCTTGTACAAGAGCGGTCGGCCGTCACGTCAAACACAACTCCAGAGATACAGTCCAGTAATCGCTCACTGCCCCATGACAGACATCTAGATGTTAGGCGGTACTCATAATTGCATTGTTTAATTTTGAGGTTCCCGGGAGCTTTTGTTAGTGTGGAATGGGTTAGGCTATATATGCAGGTTGCACCGTACATGACGCATGTCGGAGCCTGACTTTTCAATGTTTGGCTTTTTTGAATAGAGCATTCCAGACAAGCTTCCGATGATGCCGCGTCTTCACCCACGGCAATCCTTATCTCTCGTAGGCATACAGCGCCCGACGACGGAAAATTGACCATCACACATGGTTCAATTTGCCAAACAAGGACGAAGATCCGCAAGCCGGCACAATTGCACACGGAAAATACATAGGGTTAGGGTAGGCCCGGCTCAAAAGGCCTATGATTGGTCGACCAGATGGTCTGATACCCCAGGCAAGGGCAGCCGTATAGGGTAGGGAGGCGTCTTCCTTGACACAATGGCGGCCCAACATGGAAGGGCTACAGGTCAACGGTACTGTGAACACCAGCTCATTCAAAGCCACGGCCAGGTCCCTCTACATGCGCGCAGCCGCGTTGGCATCGGCCCCCAATGAAAGGCAACGACGTCGTGACCTCATTCTGAGGGAGCATTGGTCACAGCACCGAGTCGCGTGGCACTTTTACTCGTCACAATAGACCGTTGCACGAAAATCAGCCGAGCGCACTGTCTGCTATTTCCATGGCCTCACCTACTGCACCATAATGATCCTGTACCACTTGACGCTCTTTTGCGCAAGACAGGCCTTGCTGTAACCCGGGGAAGCTACGTCAAGCTACACGGGCTTCTCCATCAAACCTCGGGCGAGTTATCAAGCTGGCGGCCGCACGCGTAGATTGCCTCTCTGCCTTCGTCAAATTTCCATCATGGCGAGTCTACGGGAAGAGGACGCCCGGGATACGACAGCTGTCCCCGAGCCTGTCAAATCACCATCTACTTCAGGACAACCGGATACCGGTGACATCGAACCTGGCCTGACAGCACCATCACTCGCCACTCGCTTGAACCACGCGGTTAATGAGAACTCTCCTCTCCTCAGCAGCAATGAGTCGGATCCAGATGATGCAGCAAGACCAACTCCTGCCCCACAGCATGTTGACGAGACGCAGGAAACCAAGGGGTTATGGTACATGATCATGCTGACAATCAGCATGGGCGGTTTGCAGCTCGCATGGGCGGTTGAGCTGTCGAATGGATCACCGTATCTACTATCTCTCGGCCTGAGCAAGTCACTCATGGCACTGGTATGGATTGCTGGGCCGTTGACGGGCACTCTCGTTGTGCCGTATGTCGGAATGATCAGCGACAACTGCCGCATGCGATGGGGCAAACGTCGGCCATTCATGGTGGGTGGCACTATTGCTACTGTTGCTGGGCTAATGTTCCTCGCCTGGACGCGAGAGATTGTTGGAGGTATACTAGGCATCTTTGGCGCGGACCCCAAGTCGGAAGGTGTGAAAGTTGTCACCATCATCGCCGCTGTGATTGGTGTATATGTGCTTGATATTGCTATCAATACTGTCCAAGCCGCTATTCGCGCTTTCTTTGTGGACTGTGCGCCTGCTCATCAGCAAGAGGAAGCAAATGCCATGGCGAGTCGGGCTACTGGCATTGGAAACATCATAGGGTTTATTGCGGGATATGTGAATCTTCCCGCATACCTGTGGTTTCTTGGAGACAACCAGTTCAAGATTCTTTGCGCCGTGGCCAGTATTGGACTAGCAATCACAATCGCACTCAGTACGACCAGTATTCGTGAAAGGGATCCTCGAAAAGACGGTTCCCCTATCAAGAAGACGCCAAACATTATCGCATTCTTCTTCAACATCCTCAAGTCGATTAAGCGACTGCCGCCGCAAACTAAACGAGTATGCGAAGTCCAGTTCTTTGCTTGGGTTGGGTTTTTCCCGCTCCTGTTTTATACCTCTTCGTACATTGGAGAGATTTATGTCCAGCCATACCTTGAGGAGAACCCCAACATGACGCTCGAGGAGCTGGAGGCTTTGTACGAACAAGCCACCCGCATCGGGACATTTGCGTTACTGGTCAACGCTATTGTGAGCCTACTCACAAACATATTTCTACCTTTCTTCATTGCGCCGACGTTCGACGGTCACCCGGTGTCCGTCAACAAGCACACGGGTCAACCTGTTGCGACCAAGACAACTGGACTGCCGCGACGATCATACCTCGACTATTTGAGAATTCCAGGATTCACCCTTAAACGGGCCTGGCTCGGATCGCTCGTCTTATTCGCAGTCTCCATGTTCTGCACCGTACTTGTCCGGTCGGTTGCAGGAGCCACGGTTCTAATAGGTTTGGCTGGCATCACTTGGGCCATGGCTCTGTGGGCTCCATGGGCGATCATCAGCGGCGAAATCAGTCGGCGAGACGCCATTGCTCGGGTGCAGAGGCTTCAAAATATGGCACCGCCTCAGAGCAATGACCCCGATGCACCGTCATCCAACGGAAACTCGCAAAACATGGATGCTGAATTGGCCAACGAAGAAGAAGAAGTGGACCAAGCCGGTGTGATCCTGGGCATTCACAACATGGCCATTGCAGTTCCCCAAGTCGTCGCCACTGTGGGATCGAGTATAGTGTTCAAGTTTCTACAGAAGCCGCGGGGTACACCTGGTGATCACAGTTTTGCCATTGTCATGGCACTTGGGGGTATATTTGTCCTGGGGTCTTGCATCTTTGCTGTTAGAATTAAAGACGACGTGGATACGACGGAGGAGGCTGTTCACGACGAGGCCCGAGGTGCTTTACTCGCTGACGAGGACGCGGGGAACTAGCCCGCAATAGAGGATGCTCTCAAGGCATATATGCATCAGGGGAAGGTGATGTATGATCCAGGCGTATGAGATGATGCAATTTTTCCTGGGCTGGTCAGATTTGTATGTCCACGTGCCATCTTCTTGGATAAACAATCTGCATTGAATTTGATCTTTTTTAATAATACTCATTGTCAGCAGACAAGATTCACAATTTCCGGCTAGTCAAGTCCCTTTTGTAAAAGTTATTCGCAAGCCCAAATTTCCTCTATCAGCACTCGAACAGCAAGCCCCTTTCCCCAGAAACCCAGTTTCCAAATACCAACGGAAGAAGGCCAAGCAGCAGGACAACGATTTTTACCCGTCACATTAATCGTGTCCACAGTTTCCCTCACAGCATTTCGGCGCCACAGTCTTTGGTTTACCATCACAAGTCCCGAGATACACCCTCGTCTCGCCAGGAATGATGCCGAGCGAAAGATCGTATGCCGATACACCACCCCACACGTAGCACCACATTGCCTCATGTTCATCGCAGTAGGTGTGCTGGCAGTCTGGCCTGCAACGCGAGGAGACGTCACCCCGGACCTCGGACTCGGTTGGCAGAGGCCCCGGGACGCGAGTAGCCTGCAATCTAGATGCCGTGATAGGGTGTCGGCGACGAGTGACTGTGGGCGTTGGGCGAGGAACTTTGTCCTTGGGGAGGGAGCCCGCGGCGCAAAGGAGGGCAAAGAGGATGATGGGCTTGTGGGAAACCATTTTAACCATGTCAGATATGTATATATATACTATGACAGCGTATGGTTTGAGGAGCAGCGAGGCAAGGTAGGAGGAAAACTGGAGGGTGTATGTCGTGCCGCCCAAGGATCGGATTTGAGAATTCAAGAGGAAGGCACGGGAGTATATGACATTTTCCCCCCCAAGGGTCTTATGGATCATACATCTAATTGAGCTAAGTACTTGGTCTATTAATTGGACATGGCCATGGGGGGAAAAAACGGCAAGAGCAGCCGTCGTCAAGTCAGAAGCAACGACAACAACAAGACGACGCCGTATAGAGGCACAAGTGTGGTCTGGATGGACGGACTGTCGCGCCCAAGAATCATCACTGCATCGCCTTGATCCCAGCCTTCACCCACATGGTCAGGCACAGCGTCACGCTGACCATCCACGCCAGGCTGCGCAGCCCAGCCAGCTTCCTGTTCGCGCCGAGCTTGACGTAGCAAAACACATAGGCGAGCCGGGCGGCGAGATAGCCGATGCTCAGGGTGTTGAGGACGCACGGGTGAAGCCCGGCCTGGTTGGCGGCGATGACACCGCCCGCGAAGAGGCCCAGGGATTCGAAACCGTTCTCGGAGGCGCCCTTTGCGCGGAGGATCATCTGCTGGCGCTGGAGGAGGAAGAAACCGTTAATTTATTTTGGACGTGGGCAGGAAAAGTACACGTGGCTTGCAAGGCTTACGGGCTTGTCGATGGCTTCATTCTTGCAGACGGCGTCGCGCAACGCTCGCGGGTTTGCGTTGTCGTACGTCTTGCCGGAGCAGGCGACGGCCAAGGTGTGAGGGCCGAGGCAGGTTGCGATGAAGACGGCGGGGATCTAGGTCAGGGGTTGATGATGAGTTGGTTGAACACGAGGCATAGGCGAGGGTCGTGGGCTCACGGTGAAGTAGGAGAGGTTCTTGGTGAAGTCGAGGCCGATTGCAGACATGGTGGGCACTGTTGAACTGGACTGTTTTTTCTTAGAGAAAGAGAGAAGACGTATGTAGTCATGTATATTCCTCCCGTGTAATTGAGGTGTTTGTGGCTCAATTGGGTGCGCGATTGATGGAGTTGAGAGTCAAGCAATCAGAAGCTGGCTGGAAGCCGGAGGCTGAGTCGTGGCCCGACGGCCCGACGACCCAAATACGCCCTCCAAGTGAGCGCCATTGGTAGGCGTGCACGATGCGACGCGCAATTTCTTGATCATCTGCCTGTGGCTGGGCCTAGCTCAGCTGGCCGCTTCTAGACCTGCTTCTGTTGCTTCAGCGTCATGTCGAACTCACCAGAGCTCGCTGCCTCGAGCTTCGATTCATGTGGGGGTAATTTGGAGAATCAAATGGAACCATGAAAACTCTATGAGGCAGCGCCTTGAGCCTGTCTAGGTGCGGCCGTTTCAATTGTTTCTTTCAACGCATCCGACCAGACAGCATTTTAGATACTAGTAGTACAAGTACATACGTAAGCCGTGTTCTCACCAATCATTATACTTGACATTATACACGATAGAGAACACCCCTGCCGCTCAGACCATGCCAGGCACCTGCTCTCCGTCGCAAAGTGAAGCCGGAGAGGAGGACCCTGGCTGTTGTCACTGGTCTAACAAAGGTGAAGAAGACAATGCAAGGTGTTCATACTGTTCTTCACGCAAGAGCCAACATAGATTGCCCTTGTTCACACATGCACTGGGGCAGGAGGGTCAAACCGTCAAAGGCTTCATTCATAGTCGAATCTTTGTTTCATACAGTTGCAACTCATAGTTAAAGTTTGTATATACAGTGACAAAATGCATCGCAGCGGCTCTTGCCTAAATGGTGAAATATATCGAACACGAATGCAATATCAAGTAGAAGAAGAAGAAATCCAGAAAAAAAAAACGTTAATCGATGCGTCCGTCATCATAATGCAAGCAGTATCATCATGCCTAGCATGTCCTTTCTTTTCAATGGGAACCCGCCCTGGGTATCTTTGTTTGAACCGCTCTTGCTTGCATGCTTGATTTCCCTCTTTGCAGTAGCACAACTTCTGCTTCTGCCTAAGCAGAAAACCGTTTCTCAACGGCCCTATTTCGTCTCTTGGCATTCCAGCCACCACCGTTCCAAACTTGGCCATTCCATGAGTTGTCCTGTTTTGGTGGAGGCGGTTGAGAGTTGGTATCAGAATTAGGTTGTGGCTGACCATTCCATACTTGCCCATTCGTAGGCTGAGGTTGAGTAGCTGGCTGAGTTGACTGAGGCTGGACCTGGGTTTGCGGTTGAGGATGGTTTTGATCTTGAGGCCCAACTAAGCCTGAAGATGGATTTGTAGCCGCAAAGTGCTGGACCGGAGCTGGATTGCCTCCTTGCTGGTAGACTTTAACAGAGTTGACGACCCAAAAGGCATTCGCAAACTGCTCAGGGTTGCCAGAAACATACTCCTGGCAAGTAGGGGCCAGAGTACTACACTTAGTATCATTTTTCCAGACGTCTCCAGCCCATTGACCACAAAAGGTGGTGTCAAAGACAATCTGGTGGTCCTTGAAGAAATTGTTGATGTTGCAAGTATTTCCTCCCACGAATCGAGCAGTCGGCGCTCCCCAGCTGCCGGGGTTGGGGTTCTGGGAAGTAATGTCCTGGGGAATGTTTGACCGAGGGAAGAACCAGACTGCAATGTGATCCGAAGTCCATTCAGTAGCATAAACACCACCTCCAATGGCGTTGAAGCCGTCGCCATAATTTGAAGCATCGACGGTCGCCTGTTGGCAGCCTTTTGAAGCACCAAGGGCACCACAGTCTGCAGAGGCAAACTGGGTAGAGGGGAGGGCGCCCTGGTTAGACATTGTACAGCCGTTCGCTGTGTGAAGAGTAATGGCATTCTGGGTTTGGGCATTGACACCCTCAAGTATGTCAATCTCGCCAGAAGATGGCCAGCCGGGGCCGAGCAGCCAGAAAGCTGGCCATGTGCCACAAATGCTACCAGGCATGTGGGCTATGTCGGCAATGAACAGACCACGAGTGAATGACTTTTTGGAGGACACACGAACTGACTTGCGACCATTGGGAGGGTTCTTGGTCTTGGAGTCAACGCCCATATATATCCCCCCCTTGGCGTAAACGGCAAGGCCTTCCTTATTGGCAGTCTGTCCATCAACATATTGAACGAAACCCCCTGTAGGATCTGGAAGTGTAAAGAAGTCGAAGCTGTTGAAAAAGTTGGTACTATCGTAAGTAGTGTCAAGTAGGTAACCCGCATGAGCAATACCTGCCGAAAAAAGCACAGTGCCAGCGAGGGCAGCGAAGCGACCTGAATAGCGCATGGTGATTGAAGTTAGGATTGCCGTCGAGGTTTGGTAAAAAATATATGTCGTTTTTGAAGGCGATTTTGCTGTGTGAGCCGGCACGACAGCGTCAACGCAAGTGGTGAAATAGTAGAGGCGAGCAACTTGCGAGTCTATTCCCAGCGCAAAGTGATGTGAGAGATAAAAAATGCCTTCGAGTTTCTCTGCCGTGCTAGAGAACGTAATGAACCCGAAACCAGAGCCTTGTTTCCAAATGGCTTGGATGTGAGCGAGACAAGAGAGAGAAAAGCTGTATCGCACTTGCAGTAGCAGCTACCAAGAAAACCGAGAGAATGAAGACTATGAAGCAATGTACAAGTCTCCCAGTGAGATCACTCTGGTTTTCCTTTCAAGTCTTTGAGACTGAACAATAGGCGGGCACAGTGAATGTAAAAGAGAGGGCGACAGAGGAATGACGCCCTCAATATAAAGGATCAAGTTGATCAAGAACTGAACAGAGTCCAAAGGAGGGGAATCAGTTGTTGGGAGGCGGAACAATGGCAACCAACGACTGGAGGGTGGACGGACAATTGAAGATAAATGACGTCTTTCTCTATTCAATAGAGAGGCTGGTAGTCCAAAAGAGGAAGATGAATGAATCTAAGACGAGAAACACAATACAATGATGACCAGCTGCCGGAAAGATTGAACGGCAGGGAACAAAGGATGCTGGAACCGTCAACGGAACCGAAAGCCTGGGTCAGTGCCTGCACAAAAAGGCGACAAGAAGAAAGAAAGGTGGTGACGAGTGACGAACAGAAACATGTTGGATGTCGGACGGAAATCCAGATATCTAAATATGGTTCATTGTTTCTCTGGCTGTGTCTGTTGGGTCTTGGTCACAACCCACCTGCAGCCAGTACGGAGTACAGAGTACTAGTCTGAAGATCCTTTTCCCCCTCCCGAGTCCCCCTGTGGTCAAGCCCTCGTCCGTTTCTGGCGTTTCCGAGATCTGGATGTATGTACATTGTCGGTAGAATAGAAGAGAAAAGGATGGGAGATATTGCTCTGTTGCTTTTGCGGCCCACTCTTAGTAGCGACATGTTTCCCACGGTGTTGCAGTCGTCATTGTCCAAGAGCCAACAAGAATGAGGCGGGAGCGCTAGATTGCGGAGGCTGGTGAATCTGAGACTCTGGTGCTGGGCCGAAGAGGCCAATCAAAGCCTGTGAATGGCAACGCCAAGAGGCAGAAGGGGCAAGACTGCTGGCAAAGCCCCTGCCCCTGCCTGCCACTGGCGCTCAGGTGGGGCGGGGCGACCCTCAGTGGTTGTCAGTGTTCGTCCGCTGTGTGCTCCCTGTACCTTCAATGTTGAAAGTTCCCTACGCACACTGGGCAGTGGGCACCGTCTTGTGCGGTCAGGCGGCTACGATGCTGCTTTCACCGTCTGGTTCGTCCCATTGTGCCTTTGGGCTTGGCGCTCGATTTGTGGTGCTGGTCGATTGACAGACAAGACTGTGTGTTCACAGCGCAAGACATCCCGACGCACAAACGGGCGACCTCTTCAATGAGGCATTGCGCGAATTTCCCCCGTTCCATCAAACCCTTGGCGCCTCTTCACGTCTAAGAAGTCGACAACAGCATGCTATGGAGCCATATTCACGGCAAACAACAAATACATACGCATCCCCCCCCCCCCGACATCGAACTTGAGGGACTGAGGCCCAAGTCGCACGATACCGAGTCCCTTACCGATGAAACGCTGAGGCCAAGAGGGACATTGAAGATTGAAACAAGGCAGTTTGACTGCACAGTGAACGGACACGTTCGTACGCCGTAGAATGTTTGCCGCCTTGCCCCATCCGTCGCCATCCGAACTTGGCCATGACACCCACAACTCGACTAGCCATGCAGGAACAAGAGCATGCCTGCCCGATACACTCTGGCTGTTTGACAAGCACTGACATTGCTTGGCGAAACAGATGGAAATATTCGACACCTGCCGGCTATCCGACCCTGATCTCGCCAGAGAATTGAGTTCTCCCACAGTGTTTGACGTCTGTGTCGAACACCACATTATCGATTCGCAGGCTCCAAGAGCCTCTTCTGTTGAAACATTGTTAGACACACAAAACACTAGGGATCTGATAACCACCTTGATTTACAAAACTCCCTTTCTACGGAGTGTATTACCTTGACTCGACAAGCGAATCGATGCGTCATGTTGGCACACCGTGCACCATCATTGTGCGACATGTCCTCCGCGCTGAGATGCGGTATATGGAATAAGTTACGGAGTACATACTCGCTAGCCATGGACTGTTTGCGCCGCCGAAATATCCATCAACCATCAATTTACCACGTTTAATGCGAGTGAGAAACCCATGTCTTGCTCCGCCTTGCTCGCTTTCTAGTTTGCAAACCTTTGTCACATTTTCCGGGCCCAAATTATAACGATCCTATTCGCACCGTGGGTGAGAAGCCAGCCTTTTTTTTTTTAGCATCTACGTAAGACTACTTCTTCTTCCTCTTGCAGCTGCAACCTCAGCATTTTCTGATATGCGGATCCAAGATAACGACCCACTTACCACGATTTGGCCAATTGCAGGTAGTACTAATATTGCCGCGAGCAAGGCACTTCACTTCCTACGAACAACACACAGACTTATCCAGTGCTCAATTCACGTTTCACTGCGCC